GATATGTCAATACATTCTATGATCATGTATAACTAAACCTAGTTACTCATTTGGCTCTAATTAATTATCACAGGTAGTCATCTTCCTGGTAATAAGAGATTACTATGCCTAACACTTAGCAATGTTCTTTTATTATTTAATGTTAAAATAATCAATGGTTATTATGAATTATGAATAATTACTCCTGTGGCAATATGCTCTGAGTGTTTGTATCTTAACAAAAGAAAGTTTTTAGAAATCTAGGAAATAGAAAATATCTCCTTTCTATTTGTTATTTTTTAAATTTTTTAAATTGTAGACAAACAGAATGCCTTTATTTTATTTGCTTGTTTTATGTGGTACTAAGGATCGAACCCAGTGCCTCACATGTGCTAGGCAAGCGCTCAGCCACTGAGCTACAATCCTAGTCCTTCTGTTCGTTCTTAATATGAGAAATATGAAATACTCTTCAGAGGGCAACTTAAATAAACTGTGTGGTTCCCAAAGCCAATGAAGGCAATTTTATTGAATATGTTGTATTTTACAATTTTTTTTACACAGTACCCTATTTTCATAGCTTATTTATTTGGTGCTGTTAGGCAGTCTTGCTGTGTTGGTTAGACAAGAGAACAGATTTTTATCCTACTACAGTATGTATCTAATGTAGCAATTGCATTTGAAGATAATTAGTAGATGGCCTTCAAGAACAATAATTTTAGGGGTTCGGAGGTTAGAATTTGATTTTAAAATATAGGATATTTCAAACCAACCTTTTCTTTTTGAATTATTGATTTGAGTTTCATATGGAAACAAAGTAAATATTTTGCTTGATTTTCTTTGGTTCAAAGTATGAGTCCTTTTGGTTAACTAATTAAAGTGGTTTATTATAAAGTTTAGTGTCCTAGGTTTAAAAGGATAGGATAGGAAAGGGTAGGCGTGGACATAGAAACTATTCATCCATCAGCAGAAGACAATAATATGTTCTTTATTTTGACATTTAAAAATCTTTAAAAGAAGAGTTAGCCATCAATATCTAACCAGGACCCTTCTCTACAGTTGTTGTTTTCAATAAATCTAATCTATCCTATAGATTGGGCACTTTTCATAACTGATGGGAAGTTAATAACCTGACTTTTCAGAATTTTAAATTTTAGGCATAATGTTTTCTTTATTTTGATATATTCATTGTTGAAATTCATTGAAATTTTGTTTCTAAACAAGAAAAGAAACACTTCCCACCCTTATGTACTGCAAATTATTCTCCAGTTTTGAAATTCAAGTGGATATTTTCTCGTGTCTTCTGAATCTATATACAAATAGCCAGGTAACACTAATCTCTTCTATTATGAGTTTTTTTTTTTTTTTTTAATAATGGTTAAAGAAATAGCATGAGTTAAGCCTTTGCTCCTTTCTTTACTATACATTACAGGGTCTTACGTTTGATGCCTGGATAACACATATTTAGTTATGCTCCTTTCCCCTCCATTAATACCTCCCTTGTCCTGCCTTTCAGTTGTTCATTTGAAATGGGAAGCCAAGGAGTCTAGTGTAGTTGAAGCACTTTATCCACCAGAACTTGAAGACCACCAGAATTATCTCAGCTTAACACAATGACTCTTTCTCTTGTTTTATGTCATTCCCACACAAGTTCAGAATATGTGTTTGATTTTTTTTATATGCCTTGCCTCTCAAGAACAATTATTTATATATGGCAGCCAGATTCTAATCTCCATCAACTTTCTCAATAAGGCAAAACATAACTCTAGGCACCTCTGTGATTTTGTGCTCATAGCAGTATAAATCAATTTGTGTAAGGCATATTCTATTTTTTAGGAATAGTCACTTAAATAGAATTTGTAGTCATGTTTTTAAACTGCAAAAAAATTAGTCTTTATGTTAACTCCATAAGAGTGGATTCTAATTTTTTTTCTGATGGGGGTACTTACAAGGGGTTAAAAGTTCTTAAATTCATTGTTTAGTGTTAAAGCTGTGGGTTGAGCTCCATCTTTTAAGAACCATACTGTGTTATATCATGAGCCTTATGTTCCTCAGCAAAATGAAGACTTATTTTTCTTATCTTTCAATGCACAATAATCATAATAAACATAATTTTGAAGGAATGATCTTATGCCATAGCAGCCTGATGGTGTCATATGGCTCAGTCTTCTGCACTTGCTACTCTACCATTGGATTCCTTTTTTGTTGTGCTGACTTATTGCCTTTGATTCCAGAATGGCAGCATTTCTGTTGGTATACAGTTCTCTAAATCCTTGTTAGTAGTAGGCAATCCATGGATGTGAAATCCATTGGTTTCTAAAGAGTTCTGAAGCTTATTCAAAGTCTGGGAGCCAGATGTACACAAATTAGGTTTCATAGTACCATCCGATCAAATGAGATGACCATCAAGCTCTAGGTTTTGCTTTGTTTATTTTTTCTTAAGCCCTTTTCCTCAGAAATATTGTTCTGCACTTTACTGGCCCACTTCCCCTCGGGATGCTAGCACTGTAGTCATTCTCAGGCCTAAATTAGCTCATTAAAAGAGGGAGCATCACTGTTTTCCAGTATTTTATGTTTCCTCCTGAAGCAAAATTTGTAACATTGTAAGGAAATAAAGATTCTGTTGATGAGACATGCTTTCATTTTTCCCCCTTTAGTTGAAAGATTGCATCTTTAACCAAAATACCTTTAAAATTTTCAGGATCCTCATTTTCCACATTCCGAAGGGATGATACCCTAGAACTTTCACTATATACAGTTAATAATGTAAATTAGTGTTGTAGGTGAATAGTATTAGATTCTGAACAATTGGTACAATTTGCATTCAGTGTTAAGGTAAATTTTTCTTGGCTGATGATTGGTGAGCAGGAAACTGTTGTGGTAGAAGAAGAGTTGAGGAAAGGAAGCATTGGGTACCTTTGGGCTCCAGTGACCTTAGTTGTAGAGGAGTATTCATGTTGCCTTGCACTGGGAGAGAAACCTGAAGATCTCACTGATAAAGTCATATCTTGGAGGCATTGAATCCAACACTCAAAAGTTTAGACTTTATTCTAAAGGCAAAGAAGGGTGAATGTATTGTATTAAACTGAATAATGAAAGATCACAGTCTGTTTGAGGGATCTTAAAGAAATCATTATAAAGATGGGTTAATGCTAGAAGAATCTACAGGCAGGGAAATAAGTTAGCTTTGTTTTGCTTACTCTAGGATTCAAGGTCTGACAGCGAAGTTGGAAGTATGCTGGCAGTAGGAATTGATGCAGTAGGCATTTCAGAGGAAGTGACGTGAATTTTTGTGGGTGACGGAGCAAGGAGGAATGAGCAAATGTTGACTAGGCATATAGGAGAGTGGAATGAATGAATGTAGGATAGGGGAGAATCATGGTAGCAACAAATCGATAGTGATAGAATAAACATGTGTTTGCAGTTGACAAAGTTAATTTTAGATATGTTGCCAGTATGCAATTATCTAGACCCTTATCAATCTTCTTGGAAATTCATGTACAGACAGAAAGGTCCTGCACAGATGTTTCCTGGCTGGCCACATTGCTGTTTCTGGTTTGTGCTGAGGTGCTTGGATGGATCTATGTTTCCTATGTTTTATATATTTAGAAAAAGTTTGTCCATTAATATTATACTCCATGAAGGAAAATTTGAGGCTTGAAATTAATTAGGTTTTAAAATTAGTTTGCATAGAAGCGATAATTTTATCACTAGTATATGGAGAATCTTGTCAAGGCTAGCATTTAGTCACCAGATGTGTGAAGATTTGTCAAGGTATAGCAGTTAAATCTTGGAAACTATTTACTACCATTTCAGTGATAAGGCAAAACATAACTCTAAGCCCTAATGCTTAGAGTGCTGGCCTCAGTATAATAAAACTTGTGTGAAGTCTTTATAGGAAACTTGTTTTATATGGTGTGATTATGTACTCATGAATATCAAGGCTGTAATGAATTCAAAATTTTCTTTTCTTTGAACTTCCATCTAACTCTCTGCTTTTCATTGGTTGATATTATATTTGATGTGATATCAAGAGACTTTATTTGTTCCTAAGTTTGTTTACAGCATGAGAGTTTATTTGTTTAAATCGGAATATAATTAAAGTCCATCTTAGAAAATTGATCTCATCTTAATTGTTTAAATTATTCTAATCAAACTTTATGTTTGCTGACAGCCCTGGTTTGTTAGTCACTTTTATTGTACTACAGTGAAATATCAGAGAGAACTAACTTACAAAAAGTTGTAGCATTTCAAAATTCAAGATAATCAGACCCCATTTGTTTGGCCTTTGGTGACATATTATGGCAGGAGCACAAGTAGGAGCAAACAGTCACACCTCCAACAAGAGGAGAAAGAAAGATGGTAGATAGGACTGGGCCTGCTTTTCTTTTTTTTTTCTAACAAGACTTTCAAAAGAAATAACAAGGGAACTTGTTTTATATGGTGTGATTATATACTCATGAATATCAACTTAGCACAGGAAATACCTCATTCTCTCAGTGACCTGAGGAACTCCCTCTCCTGAACATTTTGTCACCTGCCACAGTACTACCCTGGAGACCAGCCCTTAAACATATGGGCCCTTGGGGGACTCTGAGAACACTGCCTACCCACAACATCATGTTTTCAGACTTACAGAACTCCCAGCATTCAGTTCATTGATGCATCCTTTTCATGGGAGGCTAATCCTTCTGCTGTAGGCAAGCTTTCAAGTGTGTGCACTTTGAGTTTTACCTGGTATAAAGTTCCCTATGAATTGTACAAAGTATTTTCACATCTTATTTTCCTGTTCATAAATGTCAATATATATGTCCTCACCTGTGTTCTGAAGAAATTGGGTGTATCACTCACTGAATGTTTGAAAATGTAAAGCATTCTACCTATGTAGTGACTAAATATTCACATATTCATATATGGTACATTAAAGGGCTGGCTGCATGTGATTTTATGTTTATTGCAAATATAAATATAAATATGATTTTATTTCATTGCAAATTTATTGAAATCATTTGCTTGTATTTTAGTGCACTTGCAGGAAAGACATGGTGAAAATTTCTATGGATATCTTTGTGAGGAAATTTCAGCCAGACAGATATCAGCTTTGGAAACAAGGAAAGGATATATACACCATTGATCATACAAAGCCCACTCCAGAATCCACCCCTGAGGTGAAAGCATGGCTGCAGAGGAGGAGGAAAGTAAGAAAAGCATCCCGGAGGTAATGACCACCACTGCTACTTCATCTTGCTTGTCGTATTTACTCAATTAAAATGGATCAATTACCATGATATCTTCAAGGGAAGTTTTAAAACTTATTTATTTATTATAAGTTTGCTTAATATCTTACTGAAAATTTGAGGCAAGGTGATTTTAAATTTTTGGTATGTATTACAAATGTAGGAAGATGTATATATTGTATTTGAGAATATTTCTGAAGTCAGTGTAGAGCTTCTTAGACTCTGTACACTAATCTATTTCAGTGTTGGTCAAGTCCTCTGCATTCATTTCCATATTTTAATCATTTCAATAACTTGATTTCTAACACTTTCATTTATTACCAGTTTCATTTCAGGATTTGTCAAATATCTGATATACATTTTTTATTTAGATGCTTATATTGTACTTCATTTTATATATGTAGTTTTATTCTGTATAGTACATAAAGCAGAGCATGTCCTGTTTGTGCAACTTGATTGTCCTTGTGAGCTGTATTTTCCATTCCCTTTTTGTGGCTAGGGCCATTTCAAAAGTTTAGGTCTTCTATGGGCATCTAGCCATTTAAAAACCCATTGAATAGGGTGTGTGCTATGTTGCTCAGATCCTTAGGCTACCTTTTAACTCTTATGTTTTTCAGATTTATTTTAAATTTTTCTCTTCAATATTGCTCATTGTTTTTCTTTCAGATTGTAAAAGTAATATTTGAGCTTTGGAGAACATTTGTAAAATAAGGAAAAGAATAATGAAGGAATCCCAAATCACCCATAACCTCACTTCCCAGAGATAACCAGTCTTATCATTTTATATATATCCTTTACATATATATTCATTATATACCTTTCCAAAATTGGGGCCATCCTTTATTAACAATTCAATGACCAGTTCTGTGAGTGTATTTTTCATGTAATTAAATGGATTTTTTACAAGATATTTTTTAATGCCTGCATGTATCTAATCTCCCTGCATTTGGACCTGTAGCTTGTTTCTACATTCTTGCTATTAACAAAATAACACTGTAATTTATAATCTTTGCCCACACTTCTAATGCTTATTTTCTGACTCTTTCTTTTCTTCCCCCTAACATTTATTTTCTGTTATTTTAGAGTGGTAGTGAGTGGAGAACCTTAACAACATGGAGTCAAACTTTCATAATTTATAAGAGAGAAACCTGAGGCAGAGAACTAGCCAATAGCTGATTTAAAACTCAGGTGTTGCTATTTTACCCTTTAGTGTAGAGCAGTGGTTTTCACAGTATTATTTTTCAATTTAGTTTAGTGGTCAGGGTCCATATTTTATAAATAGGAAGTAAATTAGAATAAAGAGTACAATAGTGCCTCTCGTGGTAATGGTAAGTATTAACACGTGTGAGCATGTGTTTATGTGTGTTATGTTGCTATTTAAAATGTGTGTAACTTACTATGTTTAACTTATTATGGGTGCCTTCACACAATGTTTAAGTAATACTAGAGATTCAGTGCTTTGAAAAATGTGTTAATCCACATTATCAAAAAAGTAGGAATAGTCAATCTTGGCAGTAGACACACCCATGGAACATAGTGCGTAGTGTGAAGTGCTGTTTTACTGGACCGAAAGCAATACTTCATTTAGGTATATGACCCAGTTTCCTATTTGTTAACCACAGTGGGTTTTTTGAGTTGATATGGAACATAGATTTTGTGATATTGAAAACATCTGTCAGTAGTTTCAAATAATTAATGGAGCTAGGTAGAAAACCTAATGTTTAGTAGCTTATTGGATATGCTCAGCCTATGATGCAAAGTGATTGCTCTTCAGTAAAACCCTATATAGGGAAGTCCAACAAATGAATTGATTTCTTGAAATATCAAAGTGATATTAGCCACCATATTTTACATGTATTACATTTATCATACTGTGAAGATTTTCCATTGCATGTATTCTCAATAAAAGTGACGATACCACTATGGTTACTGCCATCAGCAGCAACCACAGCTAATTTATATGGGGTTTCCCTAGATATTCCCTTTAACTCACATCTCTGCCCTCCTTGGCTTCCTACATTTCTTAGTTTGTGGTGTTTTCTCCTGTGTGTATAATACCTGCCATCACGTGTGTGAATGTTTAGGTTTTGAGCACAGTTGCTTTGAGGTGATTTGTGATTGCTCCTAATTGTTATTATGTCATATACCAGATATATGTATGATAAAACTCTGAAGTGCCTTATAGGAGAGTACTAATGTGGAGATAAACAAAAATAGTGTCTAATCTGAATAAGCTGATAAAAGACATTAAATATATACATTTATTTTTCCTGCCATAATACCTTTAACTATTGATCATTTGGAATTTAATCTGAACGATTTTACACTTGCCTGAGAAATATAGAAAACTTGGGAAAATGGTCACTAGTTCATGTTGAAATATGAATAATTTACAGTATATTTATAAGATCACTGATTTTTTTCTCTTCCTTTTTTCACTATCTAAATAATATTTTGTGTTGATTTTCATTTTCCCGGTCTTATCATTTTTTACTTTTTTATTTTCAGACTTTTATTTATTTAAAGAATTTGTATTTAGTTTTTTAGACTGATACATGAAAACATAAAAGTTTTACATATTAATGGGATAGTATGTGATATATCCATACATGTGTACATTGTGTTCAAATCAGGGCAAACATTTGTCTCCTCAAACATTTTTGCATGGTGAATATATATATATATATATTAAGGAAACTTTCTTCTAGGTTTTTGAAATAGATGATACTTCATCACAGTCTATGTTTACTGTACAAATATTCTATAATATTTTAACGTGATTCTTTTTTACATAAATGTTTAATCAATTTTTTTAAAGTTTTTAAAATTTAAATTTTTAGTTAACTAGTATTAAAACTGTTAAGATTAATATTCAGGTTTAATGTGAAGTTTGTCTTTGCATAGTGATCATTTGTAAGCAAATGAATAGGAATGTTTGTATCAGCATGTATTTTTTTCATATCATATACTGTCTTTCCTCTCTAACAACCACTTCTCTTGGTTATAGCTTCCAGTGCACTAGGTCTCATTCTAAAAGGCCTAAGGCTGAGGAGGATGAGGAGGTGTCTGCAGATGTCGATGAGGCAGAGGACCCTAATCATGATGCAGGCATGGAGGACCTCAAGGTCAGAGAAAAGCCAGAAGCAGCAGCAAAGCTAGGTAACACAGAAGCACCTTCAGAAGACAGGGTGCAAATGGATCAGCACTTCTCAGATAATATCAATGTTTCAGGTGAGAATATATTTGATTATATTTCACCCATAAGTAGTAGGTATTTGATGATCTAATGCCTTAAATCTATGTTCAGTAGTATAGTTTTCTTAATTACCCACCTTGCTCATCAATAACTATCTTATATAGGGTTATTTAACCAGGAAGCCAAGAGACTGTTATATTAAAAGTAACATGCAACACTGCTTTTTAAAATGCAATGTGAGACAAACAGCCAGCAGTTTATTTTCATTTAATAAAAAAGAAGATTCCAAAATGAAAAAACAAAAATTATTTTTAGTGCAACTCAATTTACAATATACAATACATTTTGGAAAGCTTCTCTTGAATTCACACGAAGCAGAGAAAACCAATTATAGATAATTCTTTGCATATTTTCAGCTTTTGACTTAATTTAAAGAAGAAAATAAAGATTAACGTTTTAAAAAGAATAACAAAAATAAAGAGTCAGTGTGATGAATTGGTACATATAGTCCCTGGACTGTTTCTGTATACTAAAAGCTCTTAGCTACTTTACTCCCCCTTCCCCCAGCATATCTCTCTGAAACTTCATTAATGCTTTGCCTTGTTAATATCATTTGGAGCTTTTGTCCTTTTAATAATCAATCTAGTTGGTAATTCCTAACTTCCTCTCAAACCCTGTATTCCATAAATACTTAAGTTGTTGGACTCTTCTGAATCTCTTTTCCTGTTTCCTCCTCATTCAAGTGGATTCATCTCTAGCTTTCTCTCTTGCAGAGTGTGCTTCCTTTCTGTTTTACCAGTATCCATTCCTGTCACTTCTGTTGTTATTTCTCCATATAGCAGTTATTGATCCCTTTAACAATCATTTAGCTTAGGTTTTATCTGTCCTTATTATTATTCCACTTACTATAATAGAAAAAGTCCTTCCTGGCTGCTGCTTCAGACTCATTGCCTTTGCCCTTCAAATATTTTATAAATGAAGTTCATATAGACTTTTTTTTTAATGAATTCATATATCAGGGGAACTAGACAAATATATATTTACAATCCAGTGTAGTACCTCTCTTTATAGAGATGGCATGGGGAACTGCTTATCTACCACTTAAAGACCAAGATGGACAGGTCAAGTTTCTTGGCTTAGGTGATATCAGAATTGAATTGTGAATAAGAAGAAGATACCAAGGTCACAAAAGTAGGGAAGGAAATTGCATCAAATGCAGAGAAGACAGTTTTACAATGCATATAGATATTTCTTTATCATCCTTCAACATGCTTTCCTCTATACAGGACTTAATTAAAAACTTTGTGAGTTGCTGGAAGATTTAGCTGATGGTATCTAATTTCATTAGTTCTGTCTGGTTCATTGCATTTTGCCCTCCAGGTTTTGAGACCTGGAAGAGAACTTAAGTAGAAGACTGGATGGGTTCATCATTAGAGGAAGTATGTAATAGGAGGAAATCATGCTGTGTGTGTGTGTGTGTGTGTGTGTGTGTGTGTGTGAGTGTGTGAGTGAGAGAGAGAGAGAGAGAATGAATGCATGCTGATATGTCAGAGAAGAGAAATATTTTGTAATTTTTTTTCTTATATATTTTCAGTGTACCGTATAAGTGTAGTGTAGGAAATAATTTGTATTGGATTTTATAGCCTTATGCATGTCATTTATATACATTGTTTCAACTGGAACATTTCATTAATAGTGGCTCATAGCATCATATATGTAATTCATATTTTTAGGCTGATTTCAAATTGCTATAGCTTTTATAATTATTACAATTGCCTTGCTTTTGGTATTAGCCTTTAGTATAACCTCATTTTAATCACTTGTTTTGTTAGTAGGTATTTTCTTAGGCTAAAATCCAAGCTCTTACCCTAACAGCTGTGAAATCAGCATGATATTTTGTGACCTTTCACAATTCTGTCCGTGGAAGTTGAAAGGGAAAGTTCAAAAACATAAAATCAGTTGGAAATAATTTAACACTTCTACTCACTAGTAATATGATATATAGTTTAAGCCAGGCTCAGTGGCCCATGCTTGTAATACCAGTGGCTTAGGTGGCTGAGGCAGGAGGATTGCAATTTCAAGGCCACTCTCAACCATTTAGTGAGGCCTAAGCAACTTACCAAGAACCTGTCTCAAAATTAAAAAAAAAAAAAGTGTTGGGGATGTGGCTGAGTAATTAAGCACCCCTGGGTTCAATCCCTAATACCTTCCTCTCCCCCAATAAATAGATAAATAACTAAGCAAGATGCAAGGTTTATTAATAGGCTTTTGTTTTACTCTTCAGGAAGCAGCTGCTCAAGTACATCTGTAATGGAGGAACTAAAAACTGAGTGTGCCAAGGCCGGTGCCACAATTATACCTGCTTTGCCCAGAGAGGCTAATGACTCTATACCATTGTATACTGGGCATGAGGAGGTTGAAGAGTCAGATCCACCTAAGCTTCCATGGCCAAAATCACCTGAGTCAACTTCCTCAGTGACAGAGAGTTATGGTGTGTTTACAGAGGGAGAAGAGAGTGATATGGAAGGCCTCAGGAGTGGCCTTGAACCTGGGGAAATACCCGCCGTCCTCAGTGAAGAGAGAAATGGCTTCAAAGTTCCCAGTGTATGTGGCAATATTCATTTTTACTGTTTTCATTGTATGTTGAGCATGCTTTCTGAAAACAACATGATGTGCTTTGAAATCTTGCTTTAGGGCAGAAATAAATAACATTTTACATTTATGGGTTTTAATCATTTTCCTTCAGTGACTAGGAGGTAGGCATTCCATGAGCTCTGGCTCATATTGTGATAATTTATTGCTCAGAAGCTTTGCCCACATGGTTGTAATTTAGTTTTCTATTTTTAGATATTCACCTCTTTATTTGGAGATAACTATAAATTCATATTCATATATAGGAAATATTACAGAGAGATCTATGTTTCCTTTCCCAGTTTCCCCCATTACTTTATTCTAGGAAAACAGTCGTGGAATCACAACCACATTGATATTGATATGGTCATGGCACAGAATGGTCTGTCACCTGCAATAATAACGAGGCTGGGAAGAATTCACCTTTTGGACTCTGCCCTCCTCCTGCCCACAGTTATTACCTTTGGAACTAAGCTTTCTATATGTTCCATTTTAACATTAGGGCATACCTGATCCCTCTTTCCTCCAACTCTTATTTCTTCCTGTCTGAATCCTAATGTCAGGGCAAGTTTTTGATCCTGCCCACTTTGGGGAAAAAACAGAACTTTGGCCTCCCAGAAAAGTTAACAGGCCTCTGGATCACCAAGTCCCCCATGTTATGTTTTTGAGTGCCTCCTTATGTCTGTGGTAACCTTGTTTAATGTTAATATTATATGCTTTCAGCAAAAGCAATCCCTATTATCATAAGATTGGGTGTTGAGTGGGCGAGCTCAGACAGTGTCTTTGTCAGCATTCAGAAGTTCTTTTGGCCATCTGCCCTGATCATGGAATTCAGAGGCATGTGTGAGGACATCCTCAGTTGCTTGAGCTGGCAGTGATTCGGTAGAGGAGTATGATAAGTTTGCATGATGAGTATGATAAATTTGTCCAATATGATGACTTCTGTTGGGTCAAATTATGCATTATGTATTCTACTGAATTGTAAATGAGTATCTGTTAAAAAACACATAAAAATATGATCAAATTTATTTGAAAAGGTGGCTAAGAGAAGTTTGCATTCAATGAATAGAGCTTAAATGGCTTCAAAATGTCAGCTGTGTATCATTAAAAAATAATATCTTCGATTTCTCATCTCATCCTATATGTATGTGATAGGAGTAGCTTATTTCTGAATTAAAGGAAGTATACATTCTCATCTTGGCAGCATTTCCTTCTCTGTGAGGGTAGAAAGCAAACTCACCTGCCAAATTTTCACATGGGAACTATGTAGAGGCTATGCAATATCAGGGCCCTTATTTTATGAGTCTATAATTTTAAACTTAGGCTAATTTTTAAAAAGATCTTTGGAAGCTTGCCAAATATACCCTGCACTCCAATTAGGATTTTAAGATTCTGCACAAGAGTTAACTGATTTGTTGTTAAAATGATTTAACAGAATGTTTCCTCTTTCTTTTGACTTTAAGTTTTTTAAACAAATTCCTTAAGATATAAATAAGCAGAAGGTATTTTCATAATTAAGCTTTTGTAAATTATTGTGAACTACAATTTTTGTTTTAAACATGTTTTTCATTTATATTTGTTTTTTTCCCATATTTGTTAAATTATCAGATAATGGAGGCAGAGACCAAAACTGCTAAGAGTTGGCGCCATCCACTTAGTAAGCCTCCAGCCAGATCCCCAATGACTCTTGTGAAGCAACAGGCAACAAGCGATGAAGGTGAGCTGATGATATTTTTTTAGGTTTTTTTTCCCCCTATGTACAGATGTTTGTTGTAACAAACTGTTCTACAAAGTTGTTCAGTGGAAAGAAGATTTGACCCTGTGGCAAATACATACCTTAAGCCTTAAACCACTTCCAGGCAAAAATAATTTGCATTTTAGGAATACAGATTTGCTTCATATAACCTCATGGTGTTGCTAGTAAAAGTCTTTGTGTTTTGTTGCATAACATTTGTAACTCCTGATATTCCCTAAAGACTTTCCAGAAGTTAAGAATCACTTCTCAAAAGGTGTTACATCATAGAGTTAACACGCTATAGGTTTCTTTTCATTGTCTTCATTTTTAGCTGGAATCCTTCAAATTCCTGTAAATTTCATTGAGTAGGAAACTGTGTGCAGTACTTCCCCCTCTTACACCTGTGGGCCATGAAACATACTTTCTGCTTAAGTGGATTGCATGTGGTTTGATGTTAAGCAGTTTTATTTATAACAAGTCATCACTCCTACTGGATATAACATTTATTTATTTATTTTTGTTGCCTCAGATTAAAAATCAGACCAATCACCCGTTTTCTTCTTTCTTGTCTTAGCATTCTATGGGCCTTATTTTTACCATTTCAAAATAATCCATTAAACAGTTTTTGGGTAAAGAACCCTTCTTTAGATATTCTTCTTTGCTCTTGGAAATTGTTAATTATGGTCACCTATTTGTGAGGAAACAATATTGGTTTAAACTTCTATTTCGAATAAATAGACTCTTTAAAATGTGTATATCATTGGCATAATTTTTTCCTCCCTTTTTTCTTTGTCTTCTTTTGTAGCACATGTTTACTTAGGAAAAAGATGGCTCCAGTAATAGAAGTAATGAAACACATTTGTATTTACTTCTATTTGTCACATACTGTTTTTCTCTTAGTGTCAGTTTAATTAAAGATAAATTTGTATCAAGTAATTAATATGCTGTACTCCTTCATCATCACCTGTTTCAGCATGGCTTCTTTGAAGAAAGCAGGGTGCATTAAAGGCAGGAAGCAGGCTGCTTCCTCCTATGAGCATGGTTCCCTACTAAGTTTATTTTGATGTGAACCATCATAAATTAGCCTACAGTTTCTCCATGAAGAACACTTCTGATTTTAATCTGTAGAGCTTGTGAAATTTTTAAATGGATTGGGTTAACAAAGTTGTATCAAGGATTTGAAATTAATATTTTGCTCAAACATTTATGATCTGCAGTGGTCTCACTTTCCATTCTAATATGTTAAAGACTCTGGGCATCCTCTGGGGATTTTTAAGAATTGAACAGAAAAATTAGAGAATTTTATACACTCCTAAATTGATAATGAAGTATGATTTGTATCCCGGAACAAATTTTTTAAATCATCGAGCATTTGAATGTTTCCTTATGTCAAAGTTGCTTTTGCAATTGGAGTTGAATGAATATTGTCATTGATAGAAAGGGATGAACTGAGGACTTAGAACAACACTCCCAAATCCAGCTGCTTCGGGGGAATTTCCTGCTCTAATTTCTCAATTCCTTTTGTACTCTTCTCTGTGTGAGTATAGCTGTATTAGAGTCTCTGAGAAGTTACATCTGTACACAGCAATCAGTGTTCCTTATTGGTGAGTGAGATGGATTGTGATCATCTAACAGAAAGACTGCAAAGGGAATTTAGAGTTGAAAGCTGAAGTTGAACAACTTAAATGTCTAATAATGTGAAATTGTTTGGATGAAGTATGGTCAAGCAACTGAATGAAATACATTGTAGCTGTAGAGAATGATTCCAGAAGTCATAGTTACACTGCGGGTGTAATGTTTCGGATACAGAGTTAAATGGTAAAATATGGTTTAATATGTTTTTCTAGATTGGGAGTATTTTCTGGCAAGCACTTCTTTCTTGATGGTCTTGGAAAGTGCATAATGAATATCCTGAAAGCTTTGGTATCTGAATTTGCTTTGTTTTTGTTGTAGTTTTTCCCATGTTTTTTATTGATACATTATAATTATGCATAATGTGGATTCTTTGTTACATATCTGTTCATGCATATGACATACAATATAATTTGGCTAATCTCACTCCTAGTGTCTTTACTGATTTATAGATTTTTTTTTAACATGACCTCCTTTAAAAGACCTAAACTTGTGGGTATGTACTGATAATAATCAGTCATTTCCCCATATCAGAAATAAGAGAAAATGATATAAAAAGGAAAAATGTATTTGATCACAATTTGGCCCCAAATGGAAAGACAATCTGTCTTTGCCTGTTCTACAGAAGTGTTACAATTTATAGGAACAAAAGCCAGGAAGTCTGTATATGTAGATTGAGCAGACTGTGCCAGCCTAAATATATGTCACAATTCTAATTCTTTTGTTTGTTGCATTACTTTTGGTGACAGGGCTTTGAGGATGGTTGGTATTAGCTCTATCCTCTATTCTCAACATTAGCTGGTTGCTTGTATGTTCTGTGATGGAGAAAATAGCTTAAGAACAGGGTTAGCAGCAGGAAATGTCATGGATTGGACTTTTTTAAAAATTAAAAAACTTAAAATGAACCCATTATATTTTGACTAGTGTTTCATCAGCACCACTTTAATTTGCTGATACTGATTCCAGAACTTCTCCTGAATTGAAAAGAGGTTAATAGACATCCTGCGTGATACCAACCTTTTAGTATGCATTTTTCAACACTTCTACATTTCCTCTTCTCATTGCTCATTGTTCATTGCTTTTGAAGTTTTTATCCTGCACACAAATGTGCATTTCTTTCCCAATATTTAAAAATAAATTACTACATTTATTTCCAATATAACATTTTTAGCTTTTCCTACTGTTCCTTTCATATACTTTTTGTTCACCCACTCTCCTTGGTTAAGTTATTTGGTTCTTGATGTTTCCAATTCAGCTGTACCCCAAGTGCAAGTCCTGCTAACATACAGAAGATCGTACATCATGGCAGCAGCAGACACTGTGATACTCTGCTCAGTGATTCTCACTGTTAATGGGGATTGCAGTGGACAAGATTGTGCTTAGAGTGAAGTTTGTTTGGAGGCTGTTAACTGAAAGATTTAGCTCAGAATATATATAAGATTGTCATTAAATGATTTTAATTGTCTTTTCTATGTTAACAAGTCTTCAAATTATATATAATGAACTTTCATATTGCTCAAGAAGTGTTTTACAGAGACTTGTAGTGTCAGTGTGATGGACTAGATGATAATACCTCTCTATTTACAAGGCAGCCAGAAATGATGGATAAAATAAAACAAATCACCTTCATGTATGCATTTAGAGGCAAAACAGCATCAAGGACAGTATTCTCCATGTCTGCACCTATAGTCAAGCCTTATCACTCCATTATTTGTGTGACGCCTCCATCATTGTTGCCTGTGCTCAAAGTGGGGATTGTAGCAACACCTGCCATGGAGTTGTTGTGAGGGTTAAAAGACTAAATGTGTGTCCTGGAGTTGCTTGGGATGCTGAGGCAGTAGGATCTCAAGTGCAAATCCAGCCTCAACAGTTTGGCAAGACACTGTCTCAAAATGAAGGGCTGGTGATGTAGCTCAGTGGCATAACACTTCTCAGCATGTGCAAGGCCCTGAGTTTGATCCCTAGCACTGCAAAGAATCAATCAATAAATCAATCTAAGCATTCATAACAGTGTTATAACAGTGTTTGGCAGTTAAATAGATGTTTGTTGTTGCAGCTATTGTATGATAAGAAGGGGCTAGAGGAAGAGGATTGCTGGACTGTGGCTCTTTCTGGGACTAGAGTGAAGTCAGGGCAGTCAGAACCAATATCCCAAGGATCCCTGAGCTACATACAGCTGAATCAGAGCAGCTTATGCTCTTACTTAAGGGCATCCTTGGGAAAAGCAAGAAAACAAAATTGATCACAGGCACAAGCAGAGGAAAAGGGAACTTTCCTGCTTGTTCCTTAGCCTTGATTGGGGAAGGGCAGTAAGGTAGTAGAGAAATTCATCACGAAAATTCCTGACCTTAGGACTGTGGTTAGATTTAGATGTTTTATTCCGAGACAGAAATTTAAAAGGAAAGGGTATTCTGGTTGTTAAAGCCTCTGGAGCATCTGTTAGAATTAATCACAAAATCTTTTGAACCCACATGGAACAGGAATCTGGTTGACTAATGGTCAATGGACTGTGGAAACCTGGCTTTCTGCTTTATTGGTTTTTTGACTTTGGCATGTCCTCTCTCTTGCCTCAATTTCCTCCTGTAAAAATAATGTGAGATTTGGTCATAAGTGATAAGGTTTCCTATACTGCTGTAACATTTACTGGGGTAAATATCCTGAAAAGCGTGCAATGATATGTTGAGGGCTGATTCTCAAAAGCGCTGACTGCTATTGAACCAAGTTTTCATTTATAACTTTTCAAATAATATTTTGTAATTTCCAAAACAATTAACACAGAAAGATTGAAAGACACTGATACCCATCATTTGTGTTTTACCTAAGTGCAGAGGTGACCCTATATACAGTTTGGATATTGGAAAGATTCAGATTAAATCCCTTTTATGACTCTGATCCCTCTAATCTGAATTGTCTGAATAACTTTGAGTCTTCCCTTCAGCAAATGCAGTACTATAATGAGCTGTTAAGCATCTCTTTGAAATTGAGAACAGCTTAGACCTGATCCCTATCTCTGTAATGTCTGCATGCCTGGAGGGTTAGATTAAGAGCATACTTCCGGCAATGTTACAGTAATTTATTTTTTGGAAGTCTGTCTATATTAATATTATAATTCATTTAGAAATGGATTAAATATTTAAACATAGAGATGTAAGTGATGGAAATTGATTCTTTAATTAGAGATCATTTTTTTTGGTCTATGACCATTATTTAACACTGTTTTAGTCAGCTCTTCATAACTTAGACTAAAAGACTTTACAAAAACAATTTTAGAGGAGAAGAGTTTATTTGGGGCTCACAGTTTCATTGGTCTCAGCCCATAAATGGCTGATTTTATTCCTCAAGGCTCAAGG